GTTTTTTATTTCCTGTATATCTCTGTGCATCTGCATTATGCATTCTGTTTGTTTCTTATATTGCTCGTCTAGGGATTCTATCTTTTTGTTTAGTTCCTCCAATTTTTTATCTGTGTTTTCTTTAGATATATTTAGAATCTCTTTCATTTCTTTTATCATTTCTTCTTTTATCTGGGAGATTATTTCGAGTTTGAATTTCTTTAAAGCTTCCTGGAGTTGCTTGTCAATTTCAGTGGCTATTGTGTCCGATATATGAGGTGGATGGGATATATTTTCTTCTATATACATCGCTCCTAGGGTTTCTTGAGATGGGCTGGAGGTTTGAGGTTGTAATTTGGTCTTTCGTTTTGTCATTTTCCTATATTTCTGTGTTTCAAGTGTTATTTGAAAGCTTCCTCAGGATCTGTTGAAAATCCCCTTCTATGTTTGGAGCTACTGGGACTCTGGCACCGTGCTACTCCAAGCCATTAGGCCTACAGAACCAGTGGCCCTCCTCTGCCTGCTCAGAACTCGGCAGTTCCAGACAAGCTGGGCCTCAGGGACACTGTGCGCCCACCTGCCCCTTGGAAGCTCCACAGTTCTTCAATCGCAGCCGGGTTAGGGTACTCACCACAGGCCACAGTGCTTCAGGAACCTGTGGACCCTCCCTGGTTGCAGAGATATCCACAGTCCTCCAGACACGCAGAGAGGCCAGTGAGGGCACCCCAGATCTGCCCAGCTCCTCCTCTGCAGACCTATGGCCAGGCGCGGCAGCTAAACAGGCTGGGCTAGGCTGGTAGTGTGGGCCAGCCCACCTATGGGGAGCTCAGCAGGTCTCCAAATGAAGCCGGGAATGGGGAGGCTGATGTGGAAGCCTCAAACCCACCTCTCCCCTTCACTGCACCTGGAAGCCTGAGGGAACTCCAGCAGACTGGGCGCAGAAATCCAGAGTCCTCCAGACACGCAGTGAGGCCAGTGAGGGCACCCCAGATCTGCCCAGCTCCTCCTCTGCAGACCTATGGCCAGGCGCGGCAGCTAAACAGGCTGGGCTAGGCTGGTAGTGTGGGCCAGCCCACCTATGGGGAGCTCAGCAGGTCTCCAAATGAAGCCGAGAATGGGGAGGCTGATGTGGAAGCCTCAAACCCACCTCTCTCCTTCACTGCACCTGGAAGCCTGAGGGAACTCCAGCAGTCTGGGCGCAGAAATCCAGAGTCCTCCAGACACGCAGAGAGGCCAGTGAGGGCACCCCAGATCTGCCCAGCTCCTCCTCTGCCTACCCAAAGATTTTAAGGGAAGAGACACTATGGTAACTACTATTATGTCGAGATTATCTTGTGGTGAAACACTATTTTGCTTAAATGGCTATGTTTTGACCTGCACTGTTTCGTTGTTATGCCCTCTTTTTTATCTCAATCTCCTTTTTATTACATACTTTTTCATTTTTATCCTTTTAATTAAGGGAAAAATAAATAAAAAATAGCAGGATATATTATAGTAACCCACTTTGATTTCCTATTAACTTGATTTGAAATTCTGTATTGCTCTCACCATCTTGTTTTGACTGATTTTCCTCTATTCTGTTATGCTAGATGGTACCAAGTTTGAAAGTCTAGGCAACAACTATGAAGACAATAAGATCCATTGTGACGCCCATTCTGGTTGACTATCATCTTCTTTTGAAGTCCTCTAATGTCTCCAATGTTTTGGTTTTATTGGTCTTATTCTTTACTATTTTGTTCAATTTTATTATAACTGATGATATAGGCAATTCTTTTTAAGATAACAAGAGGCATTATGGTAACCATTGTTGATCACCTTGTATTTTGTTTTTACATTATGTATTATGTCCATCCTTTTGATTTGACTGACTCTGTCCTAGTATGTCACATTTGGTTTTACTTTCTTCAAAAAAAAAGTAATAAGAACTGTGGGAGTAATAAAACCCAAAATGTGTAATTGTCATTGTACAAAAGAAAGGAAAAGAAAGTTCTCTAAAAGATATAACTGCATATATATTTAAGTGTATAAGATAGATAACCATATTATTGAGTTTTGTTGGATTATTGAACAAAACTGTTTGCATTCTCACTGTTTGAAAGTCCCCTCTATATGCTTTAATTTTGTAACTTCAACAACTATTTCTAAGATGACAATATGTAATTAATTAGTGATTTCCTACTGTTTATTTTTTCTGAAATTCTGTATAACTTGTACCCTTTTTCTGTTTTTTTTCTTTTTTCTCCTTAAATAAAATTTAAAAATTTAAAAAAAAAAGAAGACAGCAATATGCAATATAACTACCATTGTTAATTTCTTATCATTTTGTTTTGAAATTCTATATTGTTTCTGTTTTGGGTTTTTCTTTTGTTGTTCTTATTTATTTTGCATCTTTTTAAAGACGGTCTCCCCATGCAGTTCAGGCTGGTCCTGAGCTCACTTTGTAGCACAGGCTGGTCTGAAACTTGCAATGATTCTCCTATCCCAGTCTCTCAAGTACTGGTGATTACAGGAATGCACCACCATCCCTGGCTGTTATTGTTTGTTTTTGTTTTTTTTTTCTATTTAAAATAAAAAAAAAACACATTTCTAGGTCTTCATTGAAAATTGAGATCTTTAATTTTATAAAGTATCTGTGTTTGTATAATTGAATAATCTTAGTTCTATGGGATATTTAAAATCATTATTTTTGCTTTTATTTTACTTTGCATTTACTTGAGATAACTTTGCTCATTTTAAATTTGTAATATATTCAAAACACGTCTAGTTTTGCTTCCTGTGTATAGCAAAGAATTGAATTTGGCTCTAATTAAAAGCTCTTTTTCTTTCAATAAAATATTAAACCTATTTATTTACTGGTTTTTCAGTGCTGGAGATTGAACCCAGGACCTCATGAGTGCTAGGCAGGGGCTTTACCACTGAGCTATATCCCTCGCTTCCAATTATCTTTATTAATATGAGTGATAACTACAAACTTGGTTTTATCACATTATTTCACATACTGTCCTATATGTATGAGTATATTTATTTGTTATTTATCGTATGTAGAGATAGATGATATTTAGGAAGGTTCAAAATGGGGTTCCTTCCATTGGTTATAAATTTATATTAACATGTCGTTCTTATTTATCTTTCCACATTTTAATTGTGTTCCTTATAAGCAACAACAAAACACAAATTCTCCATTCATTACCCCCCTCTATTTTCTCTACCAGTAAATTTATGTTATTTATATCACCTTGATATTTATTTTGTATTTAGTAATAATAATATACATATATGTCTATGATTGATTTTACTACCAGATCTTATAGATGAGGCAATAAGAGAGAATGTCTTGATTTCCACCTCTTCCCCATTTCCTATTCTTGTTAGTTATAATATTTCAGCACTGTATGTATATAACATTTATACATCACTCAATAACTCTTAACCTCATCTTGGTTTTTGTCTTTGATCTACATGTTCAGTGCTTAGTACCAGTTTTTGTTTTTGGCTAATGTTGCCATTGTAGTCTGTTAGTTGGCTACACTTAAGAAACTTTGTAGTTTCCTAAAAACAAAGCAAAACATCAAGGCTCCCCCCCATCAAAAAAAGTGAAAATTATTCTGTAAGCTCTTGCAGATTCAAATCTGAGGAACTAAGAGATAATGGGATGCTTAAAGAAATAATGAAACATTAAAAGATAATAAGGTTGTTATAAAGCACATCCATTTTGCAGCTTTCCGAGAGGTATTGAAATAGTATATTTTTACATTTTTTTTTTTTTTATCTTTTTCTCGGTACCAGGGATTGAACTCAGAACTGCCTGCTTGCAAGGCAGGTACTTATGCCACTAAGCTAAATCCCCAGCCCCTGAAATAGTATCATTTGAATGATGGCATAGAACACTCTGATGCCAACCTCAGTTTCTTTTTCTTATACACAATTTGGACTTTGGCTGTCTAAAGTTAATTATATTTTAAATCTAATAATTTTATTCTTGACTGCCTTGATAAAGACTGGTTGGTCTAATTTTTGTTGCTAAGTGATATGCTATGTTAATATATAGATTAAAGTATTATACCAGCATCACTTACTCATGTATTCTTAAATAGTTATCTTGTTCTGTAATAAAACATGCAAGGATTCTTCTTTACTTTCCTTCTATATCTATTATATTTCCATAATATTTTCCTGCTATTGTTTTATTTTCATTGGCTTTTCAGCTTTATCCCTTGTCCCCTACTGTGGATGGCTTCCGTAACAAAAGATTCAAAACTGAGGTGCTGCTGGAACACCAAGTTGCTTTTAAGGAAGTAATTGAAACAGTACTTTTCACAGGGTTAGAAAAGTTGCATTTTAAAGAAGCATAAATGTAAAGAAGGGCTTACTTCTAACAAATCTTATTAAAATTAACATCTTTAAGTTACTATTCCATAAATTCCAGAGACTTTTAGATTGTTAACGATGCTATTAACCTGAGTGTTCTGTCATCCTGTAGGTTTATTCCTTGATGATGCCACAATGTGAAACCGTGCTAGCAATCCCTTTTCTCTGTTACAAGATGCGGAAGGAAATGAAATGGAGGAAGGGTTGGGACTTGTCGAGTCATACAATGGGGGCATTGCATAAAGAGTTAACATTGTATGGAAGTAAGACAGGTGTCCACAAGTCAGAAGCAGGCTTCAGTTTAGAGATCATGACAGTGTCAGGTCAGTAATCCAGCTGACACCCTCAATGAGAGAAAACAGCAGAATAAACTAAAGTGAGTTGTTTATTGTCCTAGTCAGGCTGACACCTACCAGATGCTCTGTCCTGTGGTGAAGAACAAAAGAACAAAGAGACAAATGACCAAAAACACACTATTCATTGCAGTAGTGAAATTTTACTCAACAGAGTGCTCATTGGAAAGTGATATCCAAGAAAATAGTATTTATTCATTTTAATATTGAGTAATAATTATATTTCTTCAAATTCCTTTATCCAATTTAATTTGGACTAGGAAGAATTCCATTAAAATCTTTGATTTTTATCTTATTCAGGTTTAACCTAGTTGGCCCAACCACTAGTGTTTGTGAGATCCATGATAAAGGAGTTGATTGGAGTGTACCTTTCCCAATATGTGAAAGTAAGTAGTTTTTTGTTTTTTTTTCTGACTTGGATGATGTAACTTAAACTATGTTAAGAATAGTGTCTTGGTTACTCTTTCTTGTTCTTGAGACAAAATACTTGAGACCCAAAATGCAGCAAGAAAAGGTTTATTTAACTTACAGTTTTTGGAGGTTTCAGTCCATACTCAGTTGGCTCGAAGGCAGGGTGGCATGGCTGAGAGGCAGCAGCCAGCAACAACAGTGAAAAGGGCAAAAGAGGAAAAGCCGCTTCCTTCCCCCTTACATTGTATGCCTGCTCCACGCCCCTGGGCCGGTGCAGCACTCACAGCACCTGTCCCAGCAACAGACAATGAACCAGCCACAAGCACCAGATTCAGCCGCCTCCATGACTGCATGAGGCTTAGGGGTGGGGCAGGCATATGAACACAAAGCGTAACAAATAGCAGTGTCGTGTGTATCTTTACTCTTCATATGACTTTGCAGGAATCTTAGGCTTATAATGTTGCTTTCCTTTAAATTTCTTTTCTTTGTTCCTCTCAGTTATTAAGTGTAGGTCCCCTCCAGACATCAGCAATGGGAAACACAGTGGTGCAGTCGAAGACCTCTACACATATGGCTCCTCGGTTACCTACAGCTGTGACCCCAGCTACTCTCTGTTAGGCAATCCTTCCATTTCCTGCACGGTGGTGAATAAAACAGTAGGTGTCTGGAGCCCAAGCCCTCCAGTCTGTAAAAGTAAGTCACAGTGATTAATTTTGCTTTACATGGTTTCTTTTTGTTTTTTTCAAGGAAGATGAGGAGAGGGTGGAACAATATAAAGATGAACTCATGATTGCACTAAAGCCAATTAATATTTTTTGCATGCTTGTTTTAATATGGTAGCACAGAGTACCTCTCACTGTTTTGGTAAAATAAAAGTTTCTCTTCATTCATCAGGAGTCTGCCCCATGTCCAGGAGATGCTGTAGGCCAGCGGTAGCCTAAGTGTTAGCTTGGTTACTGCTCAACAGTCAGATGACTTTGATCTTCTGATACTTCCACATTCAAAAGCACCTTCACAAGCTTTTCAGTAAAGGAAGAGAGAAAGGCAAATTATGCTTTGGTTGTTAACAGTCTGAGCTTCGAAATGACCACAGATCACCTTCTGTCTTCTTTTCATCTAGAACTAGCAATGTGCAATGCCTTCTTGTCATCAGAGGACTGAGGAATGAAATTTTTGCTTATTCAGGAAAAAGAACTGGAAATATTAGTTAACACTTGTAATATGAACCACATTTTCCTGGAGAGCAGACAAAGCCTCCTAAAATCCTATAGACCAACAAGACAAGCAAGGCATAATTGAACTGGAAGATACTTTGTGGTTTTGCTAATTTACTAACCCCAGACATCTTCCTTTAATACTATTGTTCAATATCACTTACTCCAGGATGCAATCCAGCCAGGGGGACCAGAGAGCACCACATTGCCACATGGCTGAAATAATTGAGTCAGGACTGCAAGGGATGGAAAAGGCAGGAGATGAGACTGGGAAGGTTAGCAGAGCTGCACTGAAGAGGGCCTTGTGTATCACTCTCAGGAGTACAGAGTGAAGGGGAAGGAGAAGTCCTTTACTAGGACCATAGGTGTGCTGCATTTTAGAAAGATAACTCTAGTTGCAGAATGGGAACAGTTTGAGATGGGACGTACCTGGACCAATAGGCACCTGCTATGGGTTAGATGTAAAATCCAGACCCAGTGTAACAGTGGTAAGAGGTAGGGGTTTAGGGGAAGGGACTGATGCGCTTTAGCAAAAGCTGAAGCCTCCAAGCGCCCTGGTCCTTTTAGTCCTTCTCTCGTGTGAGGGCGCAGCATTAAACTTTCTTCCCACAGCATCTTGAAAACAGAAGAAAACCCCTTCCAGACCCTGAATTTGCTGGTGCCCAGACCTTGGGCTTTTTATTCCCCAGAAACATGAGGAAATGAATTCCTGTAATTTACACATTACCCAGTCTAAGGAATTTTGTTTTTGCAGCAGGAATGGACTAAGATAGACCTTGCTGTCCGTTTCCAGTTGAGAAGTAAAGGTGGCTTCAGCAGTAGCCATGGCATTGGGCCTAGAGAGAGGCTGAGGGATGACAGGTTGATAAGTGACCAGATGAAAGGGTGAGAGGTGGGGTGTGATTTGTTCCACGCTGGTGGGGCACAGGTCTCTGAGGCTTTGGCTGTCTCTTCATGACCATCATGTCATTTCCATGGGCTACTGACCCACAGTCACAATCATCCAAGAAATTCTGTCATTATAATGGAAGTTTTGGGGGCCCTGCATGAAATGAAAACTATTACTAGTTTGGACTTATCCATAGTCATCTCAGATAAGGACCAATGTGATGGGGTCTCATTTTATTGATGTATTTAAAAACTGAAAATAGATACTCATTTGAAAAATGTAGCCAAGCATGGTAGTGATGCCTGTAATCTCAGCACTTTGGGAGGCTGAGGCAGGAAGATCAAAAGTTTGAGTTCAGCCTAAGCAGTTTAGCAAATTAGCAAGATTCTGTCTCCAAATAGAAAAGGGCTTGGGATGTAGCGCATGATGAAGGCCCTGGGATCAATTCCCAGTATGGCAAAAAACAAAAATTAAAAGGTTTCTCTTGTATATATTTGACATGAGTGTATATTAGGCATTTAAACTCATAATTGAATTAGTAGTAGCAGTAATGTTCTTTTTGCCATTTACCTTTTAAAATGCACTTCTTATTTCTAATAATTCTTTAGAAGTCATCTGTCGCCAGCCAATTGTTCAATATGCAAATATTATTTCTGGATTTGGACCCATCTATACTTTCAAAGATACCATTATGTTTAGCTGCCAGAAAGGTTTTGTCCTCAAAGGGAGCAGTTTAATCCGTTGTGAAGCTGATAACAACTGGAATCCTTCTCCTCCTGTCTGTGAGCCAAGTAAGTGTGGGGCATGAAGGCATTTCAGTGGCTGGCAGCTAAAGGTACCCAGAAATGGTAATACAGGCACACTTGCATGACTAGACCTACTTTGAGTCATAGCTAATGTTTAAATTTAGGTGAATAAATTCCTTTATTACTTTTGTTGCTGTTGAAGGAATATTTCAGTGTACTCTGCAAGTTTGGATGTCACGAGAAAAGGCTTCTATGTACAGTTTTCTGGGCTGTGTTCACTACAGTCCTGCATTAACACTGCAGATGTCATGGGTTGTGTATTTATGTCAACAATTTTCTGGCAGTTGATGGAACATTCTCTTAGTTTAACAAAGTCCTTAGAGTTTGATAATTCTTTTGAAATGTTAAGCAATAAAATGTCTTGAGAGAAAATGTCTTTTTCTTAGCTTTCTCCACAATATTGGATAGCCTAGCTCTGCTTCTGAAAATCTGAAATTATAAATTCATGTGGACCATAAAAACAATGATGAAAGTAATCATGGTAAATTGGAATTAGTATAAGTGCATAATAAGCACTAAGTCAATAAGTCCTCCAAATAATTGTGAACTGTTGTTATCCTCATTTTTTAGAAGGAAATCATTCACAGTTCATTGACTGATCTAAGATCATACAAGTATTAAGGGGAAGAAGCCTGTGTGCTGTGTGCTGTGAAGTGTCAGTAGCTTTTGCTTTGGGGACTGCTGTGTCAGTGTTTGGACAAATTTGTCTCCTGGAGTAGGATATATTAAGTCAGTCAAAATTAGCAAAGAAAACCATTCAAGGTGCTGATATCAAATTGAGCAGCATTTATTCAGAAAATCTGTAGAGATTTGACACAATCAGTGACCACTGCATTATAACTAGGGATTACACTCAGCACCCAATAGCACCATTTTGTTGGAAAAATATTTCTGTGGGTTCATAAGTGGCAGCTCCAGTGTCCCCCAGCTCCCGAGGTAGAAGGGTTATTCAGGGTAGGTTTGGGAGCCAGTGAACACTGTGCACTTTCCAAAGTTCTGTGCTACAAACTGGTGCCAGCAGACAGATATAGGTGGCTGTTCCTGCACCCCAATTTTCACCATACAGAGACGACTCAGGTAAGACAGTTGGAAGAATTTAGCTCTCATTTCCTGCACAGCTCTGTGTTGCAGGTAAGCTGCTGCAGTAGGCTGGGCAGCTGAGTGGCATCTCCCATCTTCCCTAGCTTTCAAGAATATGAGAACCATTATTGGTAGATTTGAAAACCAGTGAATAATGGCAGAGGTCATTTCCAGTGGCTCTTGCTGTGGGATGTGTACACTTGGAGGCAGGCACAGCTGGTTGGCAGAGCCATTTCCTACTGTACTCCTTTTCCCTCTTCACGGCTTCTATGCTATGGGAAGGATTCTAGTGTAGGACCTGGTGAAGAAGTCTCTATTTTCTTAGCTCCTGATCTGTGATACAGACGTTTTTCCAGTGTGGGTTTGGAGCAGTCTTCAAAGACTGTTAATGCCCTGACTCCTTCAAAGACTGTTAATGCCAAAGGGCCTGTCTTTAATTAGATCAGACTGTGAAGCAAGTTTTTACAGGGAGCTGTAAAAAATAATAATTGAGCGATTGGTTAACAATTACTGGAGGCTAACAATTATATATAACACAACAGAGCCAGATCAGCCTAAAGATGATGAGAAAGATAGTGAGTGAAAGCACAGTCACCCCTCGTAGTTAGGATGACTGAACCTCGCAAGGCTGTGCTCTCTGAAGCTTTTCATCAGCTGTTGCATTCTGGTGGGAAACAGACTTTTTGGAACCAGTCTACTCAAGTCACTAGATAAACAAGTGAAGGAGCAGAGAACAATTGGTCCTGAAGTTGGTGAGGGAGAATTAAAACACAAAATTGCTAAAATATATTCTCTGACATGTCCAGCTTTCAACAAATATTTATCAGACATGAAAAGAAACACAAGTCATCCATACAAAGAGAACAAATCAACAATAAAAACTTTCTTTGAGGAGGCCTAGAAGTTGGACTTAATAGAATAGAAGTTCAAAGCAGCTAGTATAAATATATTCAAGAACAAAAGGAAACGATCTTTAAAAATGTAAAGGAAAGTATTGTTAAAATAATTTACCAAACAAACTATCAATAAACATATAAATTATTAAAAACTCAAATGTAAATTCTAGAGTTGAAGATAGACTGATTGAGAACACATAATCTGGAGTATATATAGAAAAAATAACAAGGAAAAAATGGAGAAACACAAGGAATAGAAGATACTTCATTAAGTGTACCAACATGACAGTAGAGAAAAGAGAAAACATTAAAAAACTATTAAAACAAAATGGCTGATAATTTCCCAAAGGTAACCAAATAATAACGTATGCACTCAGGAAGCTCACTAAACTTAAGTACAATAAATGCAAAGTGATCCAGATATAGAGACAACATAGTCAGAATGTTGAAAGCCATAGTCACAATCTTGAAAGCAACACGAGAAAAGCAGCACATCATGTGTAATGACCCCTATAAGATGAACAGCTGACTTCTCATCATAAACAGGGGGATTAGATGGCAGTGAGATGACAGAGTCAGTGTGCAAAAGGAAAAAAATCAGCTAAGCACCCAGCAAAACATTTCATATCTATGTTTATTAGAAACACATTGTTCTAGTTATTGTTTTATATAATTTAATGTTTCATGTTTTTTTTATAGTGGCTTAGAGAAAAAAGGAAGAGCAAGTATTTATAGAGTTGATTATGTTAAACTGCTTCTTTACCATTTCAAGATCTCTTTATTTCTCCTGTGGGTTCAGATTATCATCTGATGTTGTTTTCATTCTCAGGTATAGCTTTATTCAGCTTTACCTCTCTTGTGCTATTATTGTCAAGCATATTCTGTTTCTATTGTAGACGTACCAATAACTTATATACACAATATTTTGCAAATGCTGTTAAATTAGTTAATAGAAAAAGCCTTTTGTATCTTCAGATTTCAACTCTGGGGATTCCACCAACTGCAGATGGAAAACATTTGAAAAAAATTTATGTCTGTTATTGGACTAAAACAAGATTGAAACCTAGCAGGGCAGATAAAATTATGTCTGTTCTGAATAACTATAGACTCTTTTGCTTATTACTTTTATAAACAACATAGTGTAAAAATTATTCACAAATTGGGCTGGAGGTTTAGCTCAGCGGCATAAGCACCTGCCTTGCAAGCAGGCGGTCGTGAGTTCGATCCCCGGTACCGATAAAAATGAAAAAGACAAAAAAAAAAAAAAAATTATTCACAAATAATTTACATTGCATTAAGTATGTAGATAATGAAGAGCTGATGTGAAGTATCTTTGATTATGTGTGTAGCCTATATGCAAACAGTATAGTTTATATTAGGGATTTGAAGATCTACAGAGTTGGACGTCTGTGAGGGTCTTGGAATCAACCTTATGGATACTAAAGAATGACTGTATATTGGTATATTGTCTTTTTTTTTTCTTTTTGAAACAGAGACTTGCTATGCAGTTCAGGCTGGACTTGAGCTCACTTTGTTGCCCTGACTAGTCTTGAGTTTGCAATGATCCTCCTGCCTCAGCCTCCCTAGTGCTGGGATTAAAGGCATGTGCCACCATGTGTGGCTATATCGTCCTTTTAAATTACTCATGTAACAACCTTTCAGGTGCTCATTGTTTCCTCTGTAAACACAGATTACTACCTGGTATCACCCACTTTCAGCGTAAATAATTTTCTCTATTATTGTTTGTAAAATGGTCTTCTAGAAACAACTCCACATCCATGCCTATTGTTGCAATAAAAACAAAATATGCATCTCACCAAAATTTGTGGAAATACTGGAGCTCTCATACACTGCTCGTAGGAATGTAAACTGCTGCAACAATTTTGTAAAATAGTTTTGACAGCTCCTCTAAAGCAAAAGTGTATAGTTATCATGTAATCCAGCAGTTACCCTCTTGGGTATCAGTCCTAGACAAATGAAGATAGATGTCCACATAAACATTTTTACATGAATGTTCATAGCATCATCATCCATAATATGATCATAAATTGAGTAACAGAAATTGAAAGTGGTATATCTATGCGATAGAGTATCACTTGACAATAAGAATGAAGTACAAATATATGATACATCATCGATGAGCCTTGAAAACATTACATTAAGTAAAAAAGATAGACTCCCCCAAAGTACTACGGTATAAGATTGCATTTATTCAAAATGTATAGAATAGGGAAATCCAGAGTTAAAGATTGCCAAGACATAAACGAAGTGGGAATTGAGAGTGACTGCTAGTAAATGCTCTTTTATTGAGTTGATAAAAATACTGTGAAATTAGATAATAGTGATGGTTGCAAAATTCTGTGAAGATACTAAGAACCATTAAAATCTACATACTATTTAAATATATGCAGATCAAATGTAATAAACACCTGACTTGGTAGACGTTTGTGTTTTATATCTGTATCGTATGAATCTGCAGCATCAGGCAAAGGAAGAGGACAGGATGGAACATAAAGCTCAAAAACTGCTTACAGCTTGGTTCCTACTCACTACCACTCAGTGATAAAGTTCCTGGTGCTGCCTGGATGAGGAGGATGACACTTATTTATTTTCCCCAATCAGTCAGGAAACATAGGAAGTTAGATTTGTTTTATTTGACCATTTTCCTGTCATGTTTACTTAGCAAATTGGATGCTTCAATTCAGAAACTAAACATTCTGAAGTACACTGAAGATGAAGGAGAGTTACTCTTGTCTATAGCTGACGCAACACACAGAAATCAGTTGGTGTGTCCTCTGTGGGGTCCTCTCTGGGCTGGGCACAGTGCGGCAAATGGCCATCTGTGTTTTCTGGTATGTGTTTTCATCCACCAGCCATTGCAGGGTAGTTCCTTGGTGAAGGGGCACCTGACAGGGTCATTGCTGGAGGTGCCAGCACCATTCACGGTCCTTTCCTTATGTTCTCTGTGAGCAGACAGTTGTGTGGACATACCAGACATTCCAGATGCTTACTGGGATTCATATAGGAGGCCCAGGAAAGGAGAACTGTATTCACCTGGAACAGTGTTCAAGTACAGCTGTCACAGTGGCTACGTACCAGCTACACATGAGTCCACAACTGTGACTTGCCAGAGTGATTTCAAATGGAGCCCATTCAGAGGGTGCAAGAGTGAGTTTTTGTTTTTAAAATATTTATGTATATTCAATGCTTTGTATGTGGCCGGATTGTCTACCTTAAATTTATACAAGTTTATCCCTCAAGGTAAATTTAAAGTACAGTGTTTCAGGTGAATAGTGAACTCTTGTCACCAAAAGGGACCATCAGAGACCTGGAGTTTCAGGGCTAAGAAATCATGACCTTTCCATAGGCCAGTTTAGAGTCAATTGAGAAAGAGACACAGAAGTCACAGTGTACTTAGGTTGAGTGTTAGCTTTAGTATTGGGAAGGGTAGAATGGAGGTTACAGGTCAACCATGGTCAGAGTCTGAGTTTCCTTGCATCTCTCAAGCCTTCCCAGTGTAAACTGTGGGGGAGAATGGAAGGAAAGCCTGTGACACAATCAGGAACTCAACCAATGACAAGTTGACCTGTGTCTTGTGTCCCTTAAGACATGATCTGCTTTTACAAGACAGATCCCGTCTCCTGCCCTGGTATTCTGACCTCAGAACGACAGAAAAGAGATTTTCTCCAGCTTTGCTGGTAGGTGAGGGACTTGTTTCTCTGCTTGTGGGAAGGAGGGAGACACTGCAGAACAAAGTAGATGCTGTTTTATGGGTCTCAGTGAACCTGGCAAGAGGGAGACACTGCCCCCGCCTGCCCACCTAACAGAGCCTTCACGTTTCAGGAGGAGGAAGCACTGAGACCCAGACCACAGGCAAGTTATGCTCCTGATTGGAACTTGAAAACTGTGTGAAATGCACACAGAATGAAAAGCAATACTTTAGATCAACTAGTCAGATTATTTCACGTTAAAACAACACGGGTTCATTGCAGTTATTTAGACCCATGTTGGGCAAACAGAGTAGAAAGTTTTTAGTAAAAAGACTGAATCAAAAATATATTTAGCAAAATTCATGGTCATCCCCTGCTTAACAACCTATTGCTTGTAGATGTTTAAAAACCTACTTTTAGCTATATTTATTTTACTCAAAAATAATTTTATTGATTTAGTTATATACTAAAGAATGTTCTTGGCTATTTAAAAGGCAGAAGTGAAATGGTATCCAAATGTAAAATCTGACTAACAGATTACATATTTATGTTTTCCACACTACAAAGCATTGCATAAATACTGTGGTTACAATTTAAAAATGTAATGGACATAAAAATGAACATTGATTGTATCTTTCATAAAAAGCCCATCAAAATTAAGCACTGACTATATCTTCTTAGTGTGCCTATGAGACTCTACTGTAGTGCTGGGCAAGTTTCTTCTATGGAGAATAGTATATTTTATTCTGTTCTGATGTTTAGTCTTACATTGGACAATATGAACTTACATTGTAAGGTATCTCTACTAATGAATGAAAAATTGTGTTCCTTTGTCAGCTCCTGTCATTTTAAAAATGGAAGAAATTGGATATCTATTTCTCTAAATTTTGTATCAAACTAGAAAAATTCTGACTATAAGCAATAATTTACATTTATTGTTATGCATTAGCTGTCAGGTGGATATACTGTTAAGAACTTTCCTTTTCTTTGTAATTGAACAATCATGGTAGTAGAAAGCTTAATCATGATGCAACCCCAGTGTTTCTTGAATAATAGTAAAAATTTACATTTTCATATGGGAGTGCTACAGCTTTTCAGTTGGAGGCTCCCAGTGACAATGCTTAATTGCACTAGAGTTCAATTAACTAGAGTAGAGTTCGTTCAGGGATGAGTGACACAGAGTGAGGTTGCTTTGGGCCCTGTTTTCTGTTTTCCTGACCATTGTTTAGTGGCCAGAACTTCCAAAGGGGGTACGAGATCATTCATTAGGAGAGCTTCCTCATGCTGATTTTGTTAACCAGCATCGTCCCTTTTTCCTTTTAGAGGTGTGCTGCCCAGCGCCAGAGGTGAACAATGGTAGAAGCATGAGGGCAGCAGATTCTTATAGCACTGACTGTCCTTTTTCCTACAACAATATATTCCAGTATAGATGTGACAGTGACAGGCAATATTATACATCTACATGCCAAGCAGATGGCACATGGAAACCCCGCGTATTTTGTGGTCAAGGTAAGAACAACTAGAATTGTATTATTTGGGAGGAGTTTCTGCATATCACTATGATGAAGATTATTAAGAGAAGGTTTAAAGTTAGGAGAAGAATTTGTATACCCTGCATGCCTCTTGGAGTAGATCCAGTTTTCTCTTTCTTGCCCTCATGCTTTGTTTTTGTCCTTTTGGATTTTCCTTTTTCCTGTTTTCTCAATCAGGGAACGTTGAACACAGATCACAGCTAGTAGTTAAACTGAAGTTTTCAACTATTGCTTTCTGTGTCTTTGTATTTACTTTTTCTTCCCTTACTTCTGGTCCGTATGTCTTAATCTACAAATGTGACCTGCCTACATATTTTTATACCTCTATTTCTGAGCTTATTCCTTCTTCCTCCTTAAACAGCACTCTTCTGCTGCCTCTAAACTTCACACTTGGCCTTCCATTCCACTTGACAGTCCCTCCCTCTCCTCACCAGGTATCTTAGTCACCTTCTTCCTCACCGGGATACAATACCCAACACCCATGATTTACAAGAGGAGAGGTTTATTTTGGCTCTCAGTTCGTGTTTGGCAGCTTAGACATAGAAACAGATGGCAGAAGGGGTCATGAAGGAAGGCTACTCATGTATGGTGGCTAGAGAGCAGAGATTAGAGAGGGAGACACTCTCTTAGGTCTGACCTCCAGTGACCCATTTGTGCTGACAAGAATGAGCCTCCCAACAGCAAGTCAGCTATATTGCTCCCATAACTCAATCACCTTCCAAAAGCTTGGCTTCTGAGTGCATTAGGCTCTTGGGGGCACATCTAGATATAAACAAAATATTCTGCCCTTGTACCCTGAAAGTTGCATGCATATGTCTTTATACAGGATGCATTTAGTCCACCTCTAAGAGCTACCAAAGTCTTAATCGTGTCAACAATGCTAAAAGGTCCAAGTCTAAAGTCTCCTCTGAGATTCAGGGCTAAGTCTTACCTATGAGGCCCTGTAGAAATAAAAAAGAAAGTTAACCAGTGTCAACACTCACTGGCACAGGGAAAACATACCTGTTCTAAAAGGGAGAAGTAGGTGAAGAGAAAAGAATAAAACCAAAGCAAGAGTGGAAGCCAGCAGGAAAGTATTAAATCTTTTAAAGACAGATTTGGTCCAGAACCTGGGAAATGTGGCAATAAGATGTGAAATCCTCAGTGCTCGGTTGCCTTCCAGCAGCACTGCTGGTTCCAGCCCTCATGACTTCTCTCTGGGAGTGGCCCCCACTCACTACCTTTTGCTTTCCTCAGACATTCTACCTTCCTGACTTGCCCAACTTACTGGGGTCTCAGTTGCACTTTGGGCTTCACTTTTACAGCCTCCCACATTGCCCTCTTAAGGGCGCACTGCCTGGTTCCTCAGACCTTTTTCTGAAATCAGGGTACAATCCTCCCTGAACCCACAACTCTTATATTATGCATGCCTGTAAAACCAGCACCCTGTGATGATACCAAAGCCTGCTGAGGAGTAGCTGCACCCTCTTGGATTATGATGGCAGAGGTCTCTGAATGTCTAGATGGCTGGAATTGGGGAAACATTTCCCTCTGTAGCCCAAACAGAGCAGAATGGCCTTGGGTTGTCTTCTCAAAGCATTCATTCACTTTTGCAGGACAAAAGTCTTGCTGCTTCCTGGAGTGTTGTTAGGGCATCCTTCCTATTATATTGAATCAAAGTACATGGCTTTTTTTTAATGCTAGTTTTTGTAAGCAACCAATCAGTCCTGAGCCCAAACTGAATTTTGAGGCTCTTCCCAACACTCTAAAACCATTCAACTGTCTTCTTTGCTTTCGATTCTCAGTTGAAGGCTCCCAATTTGGGGTTCAACATTGAGCTGCCTTGAAATTTCTTCTGCCACATTAAATAGTACACTTCCCTTTATCTCAGTTTCCCACAAAACTCTCAGGATACAGCAAAATGCACACAAACTTTGTTTCAGAGTGTAGCACGTGGTATGCAGCCCACTGCCACTAGAATCCTTCTTGCCAGCAAAAGCCTCCTACTCCATCGCTGTGCAAAGTAGTGAGGAGAAGTTTGCAGGCAAAGAGAAGGGCCAGGTGTACACTTTCAGTTTGGGCACACCTGCCCAAGCTGTCATAACTGGGTCTGAAGATATTGTGACACTTGGATATCTGCAGGACATCAACCTAATTCAATATATCAAGGGCATTGTGCTAACTCTACTGAATGAGCAGAAGGTAGATAGCATAATAATGCACCAGAGTAAGGAAGATAAATATTCAGTCGTTTTCCACATTGAAATTTTTGTAGGTCTAAGGTTCAGGGAACACTAGGATATTGAATCAAAACTAAAGTCAAATTATTGCAAATTTTATACTGCACTACAAAGAAGAAAACCTAGCATCTAACTGAACTTTTCAGATTCTAGAGGCAGCATAGGCTGTATTTGGTAATACTGTTCCAATCCATATATTAGGTGACACAAAGATTGCCAGATTTGAAAGGGGCTCATGTTAGGAAAGGGCCGTGCTGAAGGTCTAGGTCGAGTCTACAGTGAGGGTCCTGCACAGCCTGGTATATTACAGGTGGCAATAATAGAAGATGCCAATGTCAATGCAATAATCATACCATAGACACTTGAGACCATGAAACAAGAGACCTATCTAATGTTTGAAAGATAACTCCTTTCATTTCACTTGGTCCTGATGGAGATAAAGCTCCTGCTCTTGGGTCATTAAGTGACCATGTCCAAAATTATTCATCATGAGCTGTGTCTGTCAGATACATCAAATTATAAATTCAGCACAGACAAAAAGCCCAACAGGAACCAATCTGTGCTGTGACTAGCTGTTGTCACATGAGTGGCTTTCCCTAAGCTTACTTTCAGGGTTACATGGATAAGTTTCCATTGTAACCAACTGACAGTTCATGAAAAAGACCACAGTTTGTTCACAGACAAGAATTTTTAGTATGTGTGTACAAGAAAAATGAATGGAATCTGTATTAGAGCCCATCCAGGGATGGTTTCAAAAGATAGTGGTGAGAGTCTCCCGAATGAGTACAGCTATATGTAGGTAGTTGTTATGATTTAAATCTAGAGTGTCCCCCAAGGGAGACAGAAGTGGGACTTGTTAAATCAGTGGCCTCATTTACCTGAGGCCACATTAATCTGCTCAGCAAAGGTATCACTTCTAGTATGGAGGCTGTGATAGGGACTGACATGTTGTTTATTTTTTAATGGAGTAGTTTTGTTTTCCAAAACCTAGTTAACTTTCCAATAGATGGGTGAATTTAATAAAGATATGACCAGGCAATTACTCCTACATATTTAGCTCTTTAAAAGGGATAATATTAATTTATCCACACCCCTCCTACCTCTTAAGGTATTACACTTTAATAATTATTTAAAGTAATACATATTATATTATATATATATATATATATAAGAAAGATATATATATATATATATATATATATATATATATATGAAGATATATATATATATATCTTCCTTTACCTCAGGGAAAGTGGGAGGTGGGTAATGGTAAAATTTCTTCTTTTTGGCCTTATTATTTATGAAAACTGTTACCCTACAAGTCAAGGACCTAATTTTATGTACTTTCAGGGATAATGTAACTGATCACCAAGTAGACTAAATAGGAGAGGCTGATGGTTCCAGATATTATTCAATTTAATCCCTACATCTAGTAGTCTTTGGACTATTATGCAACTTTCCAGTGCAAAGGTACATAGATGAACATGGGTTCTCTTGAAGAGCAGCAGTAATTATCATGCATACTCTCTAAGATATAGCATCTTTTTTTTTTGCCTGTATTTCTTTTTTTTTTTAATTTTATTTAAGGAGAAAAAGAAAATAAAGCAGAAAAAGGGTACAAGTTACACAGAATTTCAGAGAAAAAAATAAACAGTAGGAAATCACTAGTTAATGGATTACATATTGTCATCTTAGAAATATTTGTTCAAGTTACAAAATTAAAGCATATAAAATGGACATTCAAACAATGAGACTGCAAACAGTTCTGTTCAATGATCCAACAAAATTCAGTAATATCATCGTCTATCTTATGCACTTAAATATACATGTAGTTATATCATTTAGAGCACTTTTCCCCCTCTCTTTTGTACAATGACTATTACACTTTTGGGGTTTTATTATTCCCACAGTTCTTATTACTTTTTTGGAAGAAAGTAAAACCAAATGTGACGTAACAGAGCACAGTCAGTCAAATCAAAAGGGTGGACATAATAGATAATGTAAAGACATAATTCAAGCTGATCAACAGTGGTTACCATAATGCCTCCCGCTATCTCCAATAGAATTGCCTATATCATCAGTTATAATAAAACTGAACAAAACAGTAAAGAATGAAACCAATAGAACCAAAACATTGGAGACATTACAGGTCTTCAAAAGTAGATAATAGTCAACCAGAATGGGCATCATAATGAATCCCACTATCTTCACAGCTGTTGCCTAAACTTTCGAACATGGTACTATCAAGCAAAACAGAATAGAGGAACATCAGTCAAAACAAGATGGTGAGAGCAACACAGGGCTTCAAATCAAGTTAATAGAAAATCAGAGTGGGTTACTATAATATATCCTGGTATTTTTTATTTATTTTTCCCTTAATTAAAAGGATAAAAATGAAAAAGTATGTAATAAAATGGAGATTGAGATAAAAGAGGGTATAACAACAAAACAGTGCAGATCAAAACATAACCATTTAAGCAAAATAGTGTTTCACCACAAGATAATCCTGACATACAAGTAGTTACCATAGTGTCTCTTTCCCTGAAATCTTTGAGTATAACTTCGTATACTGTAGCATCAAATATATCAAAACAATGTAAAACCATTCAAGAGAATGACAGTATTACAGGGTATTTAGAATCAACTAACAGAAAATGAACAATGGTTTCTGTATAATCTCCTTGTCTATGAAAGTTTTTGTTTATATTATCACATATAATAAAATCCAATAAGATACAACATGTTAAGACCTATGGAG